AGTTAAAACGGGCTTCCATATTTTCTATCAACGCCTTTCTAAAATCATCAACGTGTGCAGTTTGTTGAATCAGCGCATCTTTCATTAGGTATCTGCTTAATGAAACAGTGCTAGGTATCACATCTGATATAGGTGCATATGTGGAACTCGTGATTTTTGTTATCTCTTCGAAAGGTTTTAAGAGCTTTAACAGATGTTCTATAACCTCCCACTAATCACTGGTCAAATTTTCAAAATTCACGCTATTGATTGATTCTGAAATATACACCGAAATTGCTCTTTTTTGTTCAGATAGACGCTCCAGTAAGTAATATGTTGAGTTCCAACGAGTTTGAATATCTTGAATCATTTTATGCTTAGGAAGTCCGAGCTCAGATTGAATACTTTCAAGTTTTGTATATCCTGAATGATTAAAATGTGTCACTATGCGGCGGGCACTCGTAAGAATTTCTTTTATTGGAGAACTGTTATCTAATGCATTATTTATCACCAGCTGAAGAGTATGTATGAAGCAACGCTCTGAAGGAAGTAGAGTTTCCTTAACTCCTTTAACCATATTCGCCCCATTATCGTGAACAATCGCTTGAATTTTAGTGATGGGTATGTCCCACTTCGTTACACACTGTAACAGTTCTCTTTTGATATTTTCTGATGTGTGTGATTCAGGAAAATGTGCCATGTTTAGAACAGCATGATTCAGTTTAAAGTTTTCTGATATCCAGTGTCCTGTGAAACTCAGAAATGCAGCATTATTTACAGAAGAAGTCCAAAGATCGCTAGTGAATGCTATAGCTTCAGCCCTTTCTAACTCGTTTTTTAGTTTGTTAACCACTCTCTCATACATGTCTGGAATTATTTTCTCGGTGATATATGTCCTGCCAGGAATGGTGTATTGCGGCAAAGCATTATTAGTCAGACGTTTACAGCCCACATGATGATCGACGATGGAAAGTGGCTCGTTGTCAACAGCAATCATTTCACCAATCAAGTAGTGATATCTTTTTGCTCGGCTATCGTTGATGTCCCAGAGCTTTTTTTTTTTCAAGTAGTTGTTGCAGTGACTGTTGCACCAAAGGCTGACTGGGCAACTGGGTGGACGAGGAGGTACTTAAAGATGACTCTGCGGGAGCATTATGTTGAGCATGACTACTTGAGCTTCCATAAATTTTACAATACTCATCTGCAAACAAAGAAAAGAACCCTTAATCAGGAACGTAGGTAGCGGCAATTATTTAAATAATGTGCTACAAAACTCACAATAGTACAATATACCTCATAAATGAAAATAACTTTTGAAACAAATATTATATTCTTACTAAATTCTATTATTACTTAGTAACGGTAAAATAAATAATATAAGAAAAAAAAGCTAACCTGGGTGTTAGAATTTCAAATGATTCTGCAAAGCCGTTGTTCCTGCTTTTTTTGCTGCTCTACTTATTTTTACACCACACAAAACATATTTTGCACTGTTCTCTAACTCTTTCTCTTCAAAATGTATCCAAACAAGAAGATTTTTTTCCTGGGTTAGGCATGATTGTTCTTCTTTTTAAGTAACACTTTAACTAATTAAGTATTCATCAAGTCTTTAATTCAATAGCAATTTTCAAATAAGTATAGAAATAAAAACACGACAACCGATGTCTAAAATCAAATAACAAATGCGTGCCGCCTATCCTAAACACAAGCGTATTGATTGAGCGGGAAATCCCCTATAATAATAAACGCTGGGTTATACAAAACGGGGTATTCCCCGTAAACTATGAAAAGGGTTGCCAGCATTTAAAAGTGGAAAATTAAATTTACTACATATATGTAAATATGTATAACACGAAACAGATTTCTTTAACTTCATTGTTTTCTTTTCTCACAACCTTAGAAGAAATTAGAAATATTTTTAATGTGTTTTTTATGTCGAATAGTGATGTCGAGTTATTCGACTATTCGCCAAAGTGAATGGCGATTAATCGGTATTCGACTATTCGCTATAACCACTATTCGCGGCAACTCTAATGAGTATATTATTTATGTGTTAAGTATATCCCTACTTAGGCTTACACTTTGGTTTAATTTAAGTCGACAGTTCTCCTTAAAGTACCTATATGCAGAGACTTGTAATTAGTAATAATATTACTTAATTGTAATAATATACCATTGGTATATGTCTGTTAGTCACTCAAAGAATAGTTACATAAATAAATAGCTTCCAATAGATTGAGCAGCATTTCACAAACTATGTAGGATGTTTTCAGCGCCCTTCCCACAAGTCACTTATATCACGGTGCCTTGGTGTGGATACTAATGGTTGGATTAGCCCACAAAATTAACTAAATTCAGCGAGCGATGTAGCGTCCTACAAAGTCCCACAAAGAATAAAAGTTACCGTCATAGCTAGAGGAATAAGAATATTGAAGTTGCAGTGGGCTGGCTATCTTTACCGAAGAACCAACGGCTATTAGAGCAAACAGATCGCAGAGTGGAACAGTCATCCATAATAGGCAAATTGATATTTATATATTTCAAATATGCAACTACATATATAAGGTATGCTCAAAAGTATACAGGGTGTAAGGGACGTCGTAACGAATACTAAAATAGTACGCACACTAACACAAGTTGGCGGCAGGAGAGGAAGGCCCCGTGCGCTTCGGCTGTTTGATTAATTACATTGCAATTTTTCACCGCTTGCGGTATTTACTAATACGTTCACGGTCACAAAAACATTCTCAATAATTTGTGATATGACACACAAACTTTCTATATGATATATGATATATATGTGGTATGACGTCTGTTATTGTTCGAGTCAGAGTCGTCGTCAAAGAGACCAAGCCGGTTGTTGAAAGTAGATGTTATTGTTTTACCCGACGCCATCTGCAATAAGTTCACGCAATAACAATTTGAAAAATAGTAGCAATAGTAGCAACAGTTCTATATGTCACACTTCGATGAATCAAAAATTTGCAGATCTTTTGACAATTTATAGAAGTACCTATTTCTTTCCACATGCACTTATCAGCACCAAATTCAAAAAGACACCACTCACGATACATTGAAAAAGCCAGCAAATACAACTACAAGTTCAGTTTACTTATTATGATATCAGTTTTCATCATTTTTAACCAAAAAATTGGAAAATTATAAAAAAAAAAGAATTTTCCATTATCCAATTAGCGACTCAGAATGATGGTCTGAATACACTATTTCAGTATTCGTTACGACGTCCCTTACACCCTGTATAACTCATAAAAGAAATAAAATATAAAAATGTTCTACATTAAGTAAACTATGTTTTTTACAGTTTGGGCAAATTTAGGCTTATCCTACGCAAACGTGTCGTCGTGAACTACTGACACATTCCTGTCAAAATCATAAAATTTTAGCATTACATTTGTAATAAAATTAAACATATTATTACTCGACTACACAGGAAAAATGGTAATTTATACTGTAAATATAGAGCGCATTTTTTTAAAAAGGCTTATTTTAATGACGCCATATAAAAATTATACGAAACAACATGACTATCGTTGTGTGTGCATTTATTCATATATTTTATTTTATGACTCACTAAAGCATCGCTGTCTATAAAAGCATGAAATTATAAAATCTGAAACAAATTGCAAAAAACTCAATCAGAAGGCCAATTCCCGTAATAAATGTTCGGTCTCAATTTAGTTCCGATCAATTTCGATCTCACAACTGTTATAAGGGTATTTTCGTAGTAAAGTATTAAGCATCCAACGTTGACTGTTATGTGATTATATCGTATTGTAATGGCAATTTGATCGGTAATCAGCTAGTCTTAGTAATACTTTAATATTTTACCATGAAAATACCATGAAATTATAAGATCAGTCACAGATTTAAGGGCCCACGTACATGAGATTTGGGAAGTTTTTAGAAGTAGCACCGCTTGCTTAAACATGATTGGAACATGTTATTGCTGCCAATAGTGGATAGTTATCACAATCAGCCTATCGCAGTTCACTGATGGATATAGGCCTCTCCCATTGCAGGCCACTTAGATCGATTTTGGGCTTTTCGCATCCAGCTCCTGCCAGCCATCTTGCGCAAATCGTCACACCACCTGGCCTGTGGGCATCCTACACCACGTTTAACGAGACGCGGTCTCCACTCAAGAACTCGTTTTCCAAAATTGTTGTCGGTTCTGCGGCTAATATGGCCAGCCCACTGCCACTTCAGCTTGCTGATTCGGTAGGCTATTTCGGTGACCTTGATTCTCCGCCAGATCACCTCATTTCTGATGCGATCCCTTAGAGAAACGCCGAGCAAATCCTTTCCATAGCACGTTGAGCGACTTTGAACGTATGGACCAGCCGTACCGTAATACCTACCTAATGTAATATAAAATAAATATTTGCTTAAGAAAATGTTATTTTTATGTTCCAAATGGACCGAATAAAAGTTTAAAAGAAATACTTGTAGTCTGGGTTGACCCTAAGAATGCCTATGTGTTTACTTTTAGATTTCTAAAACCAAATTAATCAAATAATATAGTTGCGAAGCAATATTGCAATATTGATACAGTCCGTCCTATTACGAATGGCAACGTCGCATTATAACGTCCACACCGGCAAGGAAAAATAAATCTAATAGTAAAGGCCATATGGCTGAATATTAACAAATGTATAGATATTTATGAATCCTAGTTTGTACTAAATATATTGAAATCCAGAGCATTTAGGTAGTTTTGTTCAGAAGAGTCAAGAGTCAAGAAACATATTTATGAACTATTTATATGATAACATTTTATTGATCTATAATTTTGTACTGAACTATATGATAATTTTAACGCTAACAATATTTTGAAACATTAGCACTGCCAATATATTATTGAACTCGAATGTACGTATCAAATTATACATCTAACATAGCTGAAGTACAGACGCATAGGCAATGATTGTAGCAATTTATAGATATAAAACAACATGAGAATGCTTATTAGATAGTTGTAATTCAGTATTAGTTTGGTAAATTTAGGAGTTAAGCCATGACGCTACTATACTTCGTGCTCTTTGCTGTACAGCAGTCATTTGAATAGTATCTGTAACACGCCACGCGCTTATATCGAAACAATGTGATGCTCTGGAAACAAAAGAAAAAATATGTTACATATTTTAAAAGGGTTGGTAACAGGTGTGGTGACGGATTAATAATATTAATTTACGGACGGATTAATATTCAGCCCGTGGGTGTCGTAAGAGCCAAATAAGGGAGCAAACTACGCAGCACAACAACACTGCAAAGAGAAGGAAAACTTGACAGAAACCCACCTGGCCACTGATATAGTAGGCCAAAACCTCCTTTCAAATAAGAGGCCTATATCCAACTTTGGACTCATCATCATCATCATCATCACATCAACAGCCTATACTAGTCCACTGCTGGACATAGGCCTCTCCTTAGAAAGGAGGTTTTGGCCTACTATACCACGCTGGCCAGACGGGTTGGTATAGGGTTTGTTTCAAGTTTTCCTTCTCTTTGCAGTGCTGTTTTCCTGCTTAGTTTGCTCCCTTAGTCGGCTCTTACGACACCCACGGGATGAATTGGGGTGGTGACAATTTGTATTCTTAATCCGTCACCACACGGACAACTTTGGACAACTTTGGACTAGTAAAGGCTATTGTTTTATATTTTAGTAACTTACAATCATTTACGTCACTTACTTTTGTTTTTTTGTAATATTGATACTGATGAATTTATTATATTTATAGAAATAAGTAGGAAATAAGCAACCATAAAGTCTATTCTGTTCGTATACAATTAACAAACTCGAATTTCAAATAATTGAAAAACAACAAAGATGTAATTTCCTAAAATACAGAAGGTAGGTGTGAAGAAAACTGCTGAATATTTTTACCTATAACTTATAAGGTTAACCATAGTTAATTATGGGTCCGTCCACTAGGATGATGGATACAAAAATGGCTTAATTAAGGCTTAATTATCTATTATTATAGTTGTTATAAAAATCATGGCATATTTTACCTTGGCACGGTGTAAGTTGGTGACGTGACGTGTAAATCTCTTTCGTATACTCCAAGAGCACGCCACGGATCTATGTAGCCATGGATATTGATGGTGTTCTTCACCTCAGGTGATAACGCTCCGAAAATTAAGTTTACACGATCCGCAGCAGCGTAAGCAAAAGCTTCGTCAAATCTGTTATATACAAACATTTCGTTTAGATCTGAATATTGTTTTATGGGTGTCAATAAGGCGCAAATCAGAATACTATTGTTAAATTTTAAAATATATTAAAAGGTCAGTGTCATATTCGAACAAGTTTTATAGAATTGAATACTTATTACTCTAAAATATTTTAAAATGATTAACAGTACCAATTGTTTTCTTTCGAAACAAGCACGAGTTTACAAATATAGATGAAACAGACACAAAGAATAACCAGACTCAGAACAACAATTTGGCTCAAAGAAAGTGTTGTCCCATGAGAGGATCGAACCCACAACACTCAGCGCAGTAGGAAGCGGCGAGGTGACCGCTTAAACCACTACACCATCGGTGCAAAATTTAACTAGATTTACAAAGGGATCGTATCGTGTGGATGCAAATTGTTTAACGTCATTGGGTGGTGACAACCGCCTTGAAATCGAATGAAATCGATTCCTACGAACTCTAATTGGCCACATTCAAAGCAGTCAAAAATGCAAATATAGTCCGATATTTTACAGGTGGTGTGTTCTTAAAGTGTTATAAAAGTCCGGCTTTTTATCAAATTTAAATGAGACATTCTGATAAATATCTGCCATCATAGAAAAAATATGTAAAGTGCTCAATTGTTTGAAACACTTTCAATGACTGTGTAAATCTGATCATTGATAAAATTGTACCATCTGGATACTTTAACTACGAAAATCGTCTTATTTATGTAAAATAAAAACCTTGTAGTATTTTATTCGTAGGATCTAATTGCAGGATTACTGGTATCTTGATACCAGCTAGTACTTGTACTAGAACATTAATATAATTTTGTTATCATATACCTCTCATCATAACCTCTCTTGCAAACTTCCACGTAGAACTCAACATCAAGCCATTTCAATGGATCAAAAACAGTGCCGGAATTTGGGGCTATTTGGAAGTAACCATATTCCGTACAAGTTTGATAATACCAAGCCCTAGCTGAAAAAAAACAATCGTGTGTGGTTAACTTTTTTTTTGTTGGTTTTTCTTGCAGTAAATGAATTTTACAAAGTACATATACTATATCATAAAATCTGGAATGGTCTAATCTGAAAATATTTTTATATAATACTCACAGTTAGTTGGGCGCATGTAGTTTGCAACCATGTTATCAAATTTAATGTTCCAGCATGAGTTATTATTAAGATTTTGAAACAATGCCACGAATCCACCAATCTGCATCATGGGTGTGGTACCTGAATATGCAAAATACAATAAAAAAGTATTAACGAGGTCAGATTTGACATTAAAGTTTAAATAGCGTAGTGTGATTACACACCTGAAATTCGTGGTTTTTTTTTTCAGCATAGGATTAGCCACTTAAAAATGTCAGCTTCTGTCTTCTACTTTTAAAACTTTACTTCCCCATTATAAGAACAGAGAAATAAATTTTAAACACTACAATAGATCTTAACTATTAGAATATTTGTGTTTTGGCTTTTTTATATTTTCAATTAAATTTGCCTACTCCAATTGAAAAAAAAAACTATTTAACTCACCGTATACGTTATTTCTGAAATTATTACATATTGTCAACAATGAACCAGGAACTGCATACTGCACTCTACCCGAAAAGGTCCAAGTGATCATTCCCGCGAAATAACCCAAATCCAAACGGTTGTCAAAGTCAAATGTTCCATTACATAATCTGCATGGAAAAAAATATCACTTAGAAAAAGAAGACTTTATACAGTAATGCAATACACCAGTAAAATACTGAACCAATTTTTCTAATGTTTTGGATGTGTGAAAAAAATGAAATATTTTTTTTTCATATATTGTATATGAAACCTGTGACTTAAAACGCAAGTAAAAAATAAAATAGAAAAAAAATATAAAAGATGCTATTATATTGTTAAAAAGCTGGTTACAAAACATCTATAGTCCATCTAATCTAAGAGATTCCGTTTGACAGTTCTGCCAGATTGTAGAATCCGGAAGGAGTCAAAGAAATCGTTTGTTACAATATCTGATTTTTAAGAGATATCGATATCATTTCTTTTTATTTACAAATCGATTACAATTTTACAGATTTATAGATGATATGTTGCTGTATAACCTCTAACATTATTATATCTTAGGTGTTAATAGTAAATCATTATAAGTAATGTAGAAAAATGATGATCGGTAGAAACAAATGAACGTCTATAAAAAACAATAACACACATAAGTAAAGACAAATAAATAACACAAGATCTATTTTCAGAAACTTATGATAGTCAACAACATATTAGCGGGCAAAATAACCGAAGGTCTTCGGTAGGTCGGAGTCAAAAAAACATCTTGCACTTAATTTTATGGTAGTCAACAAATACAAACACTCATCACATATAAATGATAAAAGGTGCAAGCAATTTTCGATTTATAAACATCCGCAACATCTAATTTCTTTTTAATATTCGTAATCAGCGTCATTTATAGACGCCAAACGATAACTTTTTAGAGAAATAACTTTAAGGGCGATAATTCCTTGCAACTGTTTTTTGTTATCTGTATGTGTTGACATATTGACGACCGGATGGCGTAGTGGTTTGTGTAACGGACTGCTATTCCAAAGGTCGCGGGTTCGATTCCCGCTCAAGTCAAACATTTGTGTGCATGAACATTTAATGTTTGATTTGGTCTGGGTGTTTCTATGTATAATAAGTATGTATTTACAAAAAAAAAGTATATATGTATTTATATCAGTTGTCTAGTACCCATAGTACAAGCTCTGCTTAGTTTGGGACTAGATGGCGTTGTGTGAATGTGGTAGAATATTATTATTATTATTATTATTATTAACAAAAACTACTTGGAGACAATTTCAACACGATAACACGACTGTAAATCTGTCTGAATCTGCCCTGAAGCGAACAAGGGCACAAAACTTACGAGTATTATATGAATGGAAATAAAATAAATAATTAGTAATTCACGCTGCGCAACATTCGGTTTGAAGCTAACTTCATTGGCGCAGACTTGTATGGTGCGTATTGTAAATAATACTAAAAGATGTCTGTTTCGATTATTCGTACATTTTAACGATTACAACTTTAACGATGATACAAGTGAATTTGAAAAGTCACAACACTGCAGTAAAAGACCTAACTACGTGACGTTGAAACGTAGTCTAAAAACAATTATGTTTCTTATATTTAGTAGAATTTTTACTTTGCTTGAAAGATTTACAGTTAAGTTTAGGTAATAAGAATTGTACCTCTTGTAATAAAATTGTAATAGCTTCATAATTACATGGTTTTACAAAAAAGTTTATGTTAATAATGTGAGTTACGCCAATACAAAGTTGTTTTGGCTTGAAAAGTATGAAACGTCAAACGGTACCTCTTAGATTAGGTGGACTATAGTTGTTGCATCTGCAGTCATTGACTTGACAGTCGTTAGTTTGGTGGTCCAATTGTTTAATTTTAATTGTTAACTATGCCTATAAATCCATACAGTTAGTAATTCCAATTATTATTACCAAACAACAACAACAACACTAGGGTTATAGGTGGTCCTGTCTTTCGACTTATGGGTCCCCTATCTTCTGGATTTCATATACAGCTAATGAATACCCTAACATTACACGCCAAAAAAATACGGGCTATAATAACTTTAAAAAAATACGCACCTGTAAGATTCCTCTATAGTACGTCTGCCAGCTTCCGTTTCCAAGGCTTCTACAGTATCTTGAATACCTTGCCTAATGATATCAATACACTGTTCACCTCCTTCTAGTAAGAAAGCTTCGTGGACGACTTCAAGGTATCCTGAAATATTTTTAAAAAATTACAAATATTGTTAGTTTTTTTTTTGACGGTACGATAATCCCTTCGGATCGGCGGCTCTTTGGGGATATAGGAACCAGGGGTATTGGGACTAATCCAACCCACACGCCCACCACTGTCACTCCTGTACACCAGGATCCACAGCAGTGACCCACAAACACACCGAGTTATGACACTCGGGAAGTCCCAGGAAGAAATTAAACTGCCTTTTCCCTGCCCATCAGCCTATCCAGATGTTGCAGCCCGATCACATTTTTGGTGCAATCAGGCTGCCATCCTACCGCAGCAATTAATCTGCCACCAGAGGTCCCCACTCTCTGGCGGCCCGCGGTTCCGTCGGCTGCTCAATCCGCTGCCGACGTCCCTCAATCGGCCTTCTCCCGATCCCGTTCAGCGGTCTCTTTCTGCAGCATTACAGCTTCACAGAAAGAGACCACTGCACCCCATCCCTCCTCACCCGCCAGCTTGGCAGCAATGATTGCTGCCATGCTGCTGGGACAGATCTCGTCTTGCTGGGACATGTCTCGTCCAGTTTGGTCGACCAGGACTTCGCGTTCAGACGCATACGCGGGGCAGTCTTCCAGAGTGCTGGGCGGAGTCCCAGTCGGCCGCGCAGTGCTGGCATTGTGCCGTCTTCTCGCAGCCAATCCGTAGGTGCCGCGACCTCCCTCCCTACATACCCAAGCTTCGAGGTTAGGCAAAACGGCACCGACAGCCGTGCAATTTCTATGTGTGTGTGCGAGTATTCATCTTTTTATTTTCTTGCCAGCGATCTTGGTATGGAACTATACATTTATATTATATATATAAAATACTAACTAATCTTAAGTATCATATCAAAAACAATTATAATGGTCACCAGCAATAGAAACATCACAACCGATGAACTTTATCGATCGAACTACATACCTGCGAAATCAATTTTTGCATTAATCGGGCCACTTGAGGCCACAACACCCAGAACTAAGTGGGGATACCGCTGCTTGAACCACATCACCATATTGGCGGCATATGATCCTCCATACATAATGATCTTGCTATTAGCGAAACGAGGCTGCTTCTTCAAATATTTAATAAAATAGGCTAAATCAGCCAATGCCTGATCGATGTTCAGAAAACGCAAATTGTTAGCAGTGAAATCGCTGTAATCACCCAAATAGAAAACTTATATACCATACATAATTTGCAATGACTTTTCAAGCAACTAAATACTCACGTAAATGGAATTGTTTGGCCATAGTACCGATGTTCAGTATATATCAAATAGCCTTTGTTTTCTACTGCCATGTAATACATATTGCCTTCCATAAGCATATTGGTAGTGATAGTCCACTCTCCGCCAGCCATTATAAAAATTGGAGATCCAGCACCACCAAAATGTTCTTCATTAAACATGTAACGCTGTTGAAACCGATTGGTTTAAAACACCCTTACCCGTGTTTCAAGAAAACTTATTGCTGTAGTTTATACGTTACTTAACTAAACTAAATTAACAAGCTTACTAAAAATATAGTGTTAAAATATTTAATAAAAATTAATATTAAGAATTATTTATAATATTTGTGTTAGTACTAATAAACTTGGGTAACAAGAAACAGGTAAAACACGGCGAAATGAACAGAAAAAAGTTTTTAATCAGTGGCTTAAAAAAGATCTTATAGTCTGCAATCTTTTGCTATTTAACGTTCTTAATAGGCCTTAATAAATCTAAGAAAATATTACGTTCAATTATTGTTTAATTAATAACTTATATCTACAGTATATACTTAAGAAAAAACCACGACAGTTTCTTTGAACTAGAAATTAGTAAGTCCATTAAGTCTTTTCAGTATGTCCTATACTGTGGCAGACGTAAGTTCGCCTTTATACATTTAATTTCCTTGTCACTTAATTAAACATAATATGTAAAATGAGAAAATACAAAAAAATATATTGAAAGAGTATGTCTATGTAGAACGTAGAACCTAATCAGAAGATTAATTAAGACACCTTGTCTAATAAAAAAGTTTATTTAAACTGTTAATCATTGAATAAACCAACAGCCTTACTTCATCCTGTGGAAACCCCCACTTCACTTCACCATTGCTCGTGGTGAAGTATAATATATTGGAATTGCACCCACTAAAACTACACGGTGTTCAGTCATAAGTGAGTCTAGCAGGCAGTCCCTAAGAAAGAATGAAGTCCCCTCGAAATATTAACAGCTCTAGTACATTAAGTTTTTTCCATGTGAGAATTTTTCAATTATAATTGTCTATTGTGGGTTAGTGAGAGAGTAACGCAGAATAGTTTTGAAAATATAATAATGGCATTCATGTAAATAAATGTAAATGTAAGTAAAGATATAATTTATAAGTTTTGTACACTTCTTCGAGTTTCATTGTGATATCAACTAGTTATATAATATATGTCACTAGTTACAGCACAACTAGCCCAATTGTTTATATATTTACACGCAGCTAATCAACAGCATTAATATCTACCTTCCATCTTCATCCATTATCGGACCAATACTCAATACTTTATTGCTTCCATAATGTAAATACATGGACCAATTATGGACCCTGTCGAGCGCAGCACAGTTTGTTTGGGAGAGAGGAAGATAACACAACCATATATATAGTAGAATGTTTTGTTTGTAATTAATATAGTAGGATGCAATCATGGTAACTATACATGTCATGTATTATATTATTTATTATAATCATTATTGATACTTATATTTGTTCATAATTTTAATATAGATTTAATAGTGTATAAAAGAAATAAAATATAGTCCGATATTTATTCAATTCAGTTATAATTTTAATTATTTGATGGATAATTATAATTATTTTAGTAGTCATAAATATATCAATTATATTATTAGAAAATGAAGGAAAGGAGGACGCTATTATTTCATCCTTCGAATTATTTTATTTTGTCTAATCCGGTTATAACAATGATATAATTTATTAGTTTAGAGTATTTTATTTATCTTCCAAATATTCTTTTACGCTGTAGAAACACTTGCTAATTAGGAAGAACTTTAATTTATTAACAAAAGTATTAAATTTAGTCTCGTTTTTAATGTCAATTGATAATTTATTATAAACTTTTATAGACAAGACCAAATGACCACGAGAATGCATTATTACTCCAGAAGGAGGTAGATTTAATCTGTTTTGTGTCTAAAGGAAAAGTTTGTTTCTTCGTCTTCAAGTTTACTATACCTACAGTTGCGGGTATTTTCGGACAAATGTACTTATTTCTAATATACGAGTATATATACTGGGTAATGTTAGGATGCCTAATATGTGGCAATGAGGTTTACAGGTTTCTTGTATATTAACTAAAATTCATAATAACTTTTTTGTAAGGTGAATATGGTAGATGCGTCTGCGCTAGTGCCCCATAATATCACTCTATAAGATAGTCAAGAAAAGGCGTAGGCGTAGTAGGTGACAAGTGCTGTAGCTAAATCTGTCGACTTTTTGATTTCTCGCGTTTCTGACGTTTTTTACATGTTGTTTCCATTTGATGTTTGAATCTATAGTGATACCTAGCGATACCTGGTTAAAATCCTTTACTTGTTCTATTTTTGTTCCTTAAAATGTAAAGTTTATATCTATTGGTGTCTTTTGGTTGGGGTGGAAAGATATTACTTTTGTTTTGGTAAAGTTTATTAGAGGTTATGTTTATCCATCCAATCAGTTGTTTTGGTAATTAAAAGAGACATGTCATCCACAAACAAAACACATGGTTCTTTTTATTATTTTTGGTAGATTTTTAAAATATATGAGGAGTAGTAGTCATCCTATTACACTCTCCTGAAGAATTGAAGCTGTAACATTTAGTCTGATCGAATGTTTTCTATTCTATTGCTTATTTTATTAAAATATTCTATTTCTACCAACTGCTGTCAGTCTGTCAAGTATGATATAAGCCATTCATGGACCGTACCGCGTATTCCGATTCTATAAAATTTATTTAATAATATTTCAAATTGCACTTTGTCGTAGGCCTTGGACATGTCCAGTAAAATTACTATTGCGTATTGCTTTTTATTTAAGATATCTAGGGCTTTTTGAATGTATTTAAATACTGCCAGGGTAGTCGATTTGTTTTTACGAAGCCCGTAGTTGGTTTTAAATAAAAACAACAGTTTTTATTTATAGTTAAACCGACTAAAGTGGGTTTAACTTCGCTATCGAAATTTGTGGTCAAAAAACTTTTTCTCTTGCTTAAAACACTAAAAACAGTTTTTATTTCAAACCAACTATACTCTCTATACCCTGCCACGCTTCGCTGTGGCACATAGCGGTTACATTGGTAAGAAATGAGGCATAAAACTGACTCAAAAAATAGAAAAACGGCGTGAGGGGTTGTATATCGTGTCTAAATTTGAGCTCAATCGGTGCAGAACTTTTTGAGTTTTTAAAATATTAGACACAAACCAATTTAACATATATATAGATTGACATACCATATTAAATGTAGCTGTGTTTTGTGGGTCGAAATGATCGAGTGGCATTTCTATCCAGTTTATCATTACATTACTCCTACTAAGACTCATCGTCTCTGGAGGGTCCATTTCCTGGTGGATAGTATCTTTCACAAAGATACGTTGTTCCAATCCCCATGATGATGATAATAAACTTACAAGTAATAAGAACACATTCTGAAAAACGTATAACTTTATATTGCTATTGTCATTTTAAAAATATAGTTATGATGTTAAAAATAATAATAACAATGTTCTTACCATCTTATATGAATTGGGTTTCCATTGGTATAAATAGTTTTGGACTAGCGATTTGTCTAATTGGGCATATCAATGCTATCGCTGTTATCTATACAATTCAGTTATCAATAATAATAAATATGACTAGATTATACGTTAAATATATAGAGTGTTTATTTAACGAAATTTTATATTTTTTCTTTAGAATTGCGTTTTGCTAAATTTTTCCATTTCCTTTTTTCTGACCTTTATTGCCTTTGATTACTTTTTTATCCAATATAGATACGCCGCCCTATAGGTATTATATATAATACCTCATTAAATTACTACAGTTACCTACACTACTGTAATGACTGAGCAATTTTGAAAAGACGAAATTTTTGGCGACCACCAAAGTTCGTTTTCAACGGGTAATTTTAACCCTGACGTATTTTTTGTTTCGGACACATTTCATCAGCAAATTTTGTGTATCTTCTGAAGCGAATCAAATTTAAATAAATTTATTTTAATATACGAGTTTATAATATAATTATTATACTATAATCGCATCTTCCTAACTATCTAAAACAAACATATTTTTGTGATTTGTAAATCTTTGCTTCGTCGATAGAATCGATCGAATATAAGGGATTTAAGAAATAAATCCCTTTTATGGAATCTTGGAAATACATACACCTTATATATAGAACCTTATACACAAACGTTTGACTTAAGCGGGAATCGAACCCGCAACCTTGGGAATAGCAGTCCGTACACAAACCATCCGCCAAGGAAAAGAAAAAATATAATTACAGAGATAGGTATCTAAGGAAATTCCAATACTTCAAATAATTACTCCTACATTTAAACAGATTTAGCTTATCTGCTTGCGATCGCTGTAAATAATGATTAAAGCGAAATTATTGTGACATCGGTTGTGTTTTTCCTTTAAACGGTCCTTGTTAATCATGAACGATATCAAATGTATCTAATATATATTGTAGATATTATCATTATTGTTGTCGTTAAACTTTAATTGATGTTTAGATAATTTGGCGGAGTTTTATTCGTGTCTTAAAAGGGATTTGCTTTGACATACATGTGTAAGTTTTCGATAAGAATCACCATATACAACGTAAATCGAAACGTACTACCTCGTACTAGTTTTGATTGTTTCAACTATATACATCTTCACTGTACAGCAAAATTACTAGACTCTATTAGTTTTTTAAAAATATCATAAACCCTGGCCGAAGCCTGTTTTTAATAATTTAGACCTATGCATATGGTATTAATAGTACTTATGAGTTTGGATCGTGTTTCAAGAAATTCTATGTAATTGACATAATGAGAAAAATGTAGCTAAAGTACAATTATTTAAAAATAAAGATTTTTAACATAAGAGGCAAAGAAGCAGATGGTTCACTTGATGGTAAGTGACTCCCTTTGCCCAGCTCAAGAGCCACGATTGAATTGCCGATTTTTGAGAGAGTTGTGCTTGACACCGATGTTCGGTCGAGCAGACCCATGTGTACCGTAGCATGTATCTTTTAATAATTGGTAATAAGACTAAAAGTTTAGGTCACGCTGAGGACTAAACTGAGGATAAAACTGCAAATAAAAATATTCTGTATGAAAAATGTTTTATTTATTTGTTGTCAATCAATCCTATTCCTATTTCTATTATAAATTCAAATCAATTGCACTAAATAAATTACATTAATAGATAAATAATAAGTCAACCCAATCTACTTAGAATCTGACGTTATTGCTTTATCGTATAATTTTTGACTTTTTTTTTGATAATGTTTTAAAGTTATCTACAGCACTTTTAGTTCAATTCTCATTCACGCAAGAAGCAAGAATGATCAGCGCGAGATAATAATATATATACATACATATCTAAATATATTTTATAACAAATCAATGTCTGTAAAAATATATAAATATATAGGTAGGTACTTTAATCAAATTAAAAAGTGACTTTTTTTTATATATTTATATATTTATTTATATTATTTGCTAACAAATGTAACAGTAAGTAATGCTATTGATATTTTTCATATTACATACTTATCAGTTGTTAAGAGAAAGTTACATTCAGGCAAATAGTGAATGCACTCACTCACACGATAATCTATTTACAAAAAATCAAGAAGAATGTCAGAGATTCTGCAAAAATGTCTAAAAACACGGCAGTTGTTTATAAGCTCGCATAATCTAGAGATAGGAAAAGTAGGTTTAATTTTCTTGGTGGAAAGAGGAGTCACGTGTAATCATCATCAACAGCATTTAATAGCCAGTGTAGCATAGTAAGCCAAATACCAGCCGCATTTGGCTTACTATGCTACACTGGCAGGACGGGTTGGTATAAGGTTTGTGTTATGTTTTCCTTTTCTTTGCAGTACTGTTGTCCTGCATAGTTTGCTCCCTTAGTCGGCGTACATCCACGGTGGGTGGTACAATAGGGGTGGTGACACTCCAAATGGCTCGAGTAACGTGATGTCATTTATAAGGCTCTTTTTTTTTTAAATATCAGCAACGACAAGGCAACGATGGACCTTTTACTTTATTTCGGATAGGCTTCTATCCAGAAAAATGTTCTTCTTTCAATTGAATACATTATGAAACAGACAAGACTCTTTTTATATGACGTTGCTTCTTTTATTGATAAAGGTGTGCCGTAAAAAAATAGTTAAGTGCCATACAATAAAAACCTTTTGTTTTCTTTCAATCCTTGATATAGAAACAGTTAAATCGGAACTGTCGCTGGCAATGAAACTACATTGTAAATTGTGTTAGTATTAAGAGTCTAATATTAATCATGTGTGAGCTAACATCTACACACACATTCAAACAGAGATTTAACTGACTAGTAAAATATTACGACAATTATAGTATCATCATAATAATAAGGCAATATTTTCTAAAAACTTTTTGCCGCCATTTTGTTTTTTCTTTCAGACAGCTATCTAAGGACACTTTGGACTTTTAGACAAATACATATTTATAAAAAAAGAAGGATAACCCGTCCTTGACACTCGGGTAAATATACTTACGAAATTCTCTTTGACATAAGGGACGATTGTCTACTGCCGAGGAACACTTAGAACATGCGACAACATGTACGCATGGCATATACTCGTAGCATACATTCCGCAAATTATGCATTGCTTGCAATCAGGATCCGGGAATCCTGTTAACGTTCTCTGTTTCTTTACTTCTCTTTCTGCAGTAGGTACGAGCATTGCGTACCCCGGTCGTCGCTTTTTGGATATACTTAATCCTGTAATTAAGCTAAATTTACATAAGGACAAGTACCAAACCAGCGCGCCATCACAATAATATTTATTTTTTCGATTCATCACCCGGCCCGACGTAGGACAACCCGGCTCTGGCTAAATTCTCGGGCCTTTGGCGCATGCATGGTAAATCTTGGAACCTACTTAATCTTTTAGGACTAAAAAGCTGTAAATGTGCTTGGTATATATTGAGCGCACCGACAAAGTGTTAAAATAAAAATTAACTTAAACCGTTATTTTTAAACACAATGTTCAACCTTGGCGTTTTTTTTTCTAAGAAACTATAACACTTTAAGTGATCACGAATTTATTTTTCTATTTTAGTGATAACCAACACAATTAAGACGTAATGCCAGTCTTCGGCGTCGGTCTGAGACGTTACGATTAAAGAGTAATGACATTCGAAAAATGGCCCGTCACTTTCCTGTCTGCAGAACAAATTGTAACGGCTTGTAACGGTTTCTACTACCTCGGGCAAGGAGATGAAGGTCGTAGCGCTTTCTGCGGATGATGAAACGAAATGTTATTATTGTGCTGATGGTCTTCAGGGTTGGAAACCTGATGATGTAAAATTGGTTAAAGAACAGGATTATAAACAAAAAGTAATGACTGGTGTACGCAATGCTCGCACCCAAAGAGAGGTCAAAAAACAGAGAACGTTAACAGGATCCCCGGATCCTGATTGCAAACAATGCAAAATTTGTTACAAGGAGATGCGGAATGTATGCTACTCGTATGTGCCGTGCGTACATGTTGTCGCATGTTCTAAGTGATCCTCGGCAGTAGACAATTGTCCCTTATGTCAAAGAGACCTTCGTAAGTATATTTACCAGTGTCAAGGGCGGGTTACGTTTTTCGTATCTAATAAGTATCTTTCTTTTTTTATAAATATGTGTTTGTCTTAAAGTAAAAAGTGTCCTTAGATAGCTGTCTGAAAGAAAAAACAAAATGGCGGCTTTTTGGCGCGACATAAAAATACGTTAATAAAAAAAATAACTAAGCCCATCGAGTAGAATATCATTATAAAGGAAATTCAAATGGATTAGACTGTACTATAAATATATTGTTTATTTAATTAGGAATAATAAATTGGTCTAGAAAGTTTTTGGTGTGTCAACAATACTTTAAGTAAATTGTTCAGTGCGATGTGGTCGCACAGCGACAAAGACCTTTAAAAAAAAAAGAAAGAAAAAAGCAAATTGTTCAAAAACAAACATGATCAATTTTCAAATTACAAACTTGAACGTCCTGATGGAACCGTATCTCATTCGGGTGACACTATTAGTGTGATACACTGATTTAAACTTTTTACGCAATACCTAAGATGAGTATTGTAATTGTAAACAAAAATAGACACAGCGTGCAAGCAATAAATTGAATAGATTACTGGGACAATTACATAAAACTACAAACGATAAAGATTACGTGGATATGTGGGGTCTACCTTAAAATACGATTTATTATGGGGTAATTACATTCATATAAACAAAGCATTTATAGCTCAGAAAAAATGTGTTAGAGCTGTAGATGGAGTAAAACCTCTGGAATCCTGTAGGCCTCTTTTTAGGTAGCTACATATTGTGCCTTTAGTATGTACATTCATATATGTACAAAAACATAAAACTGATGCTCTAATGTTTCTCCAGCTATGTCACAAGTGTTGTTAAGCGTTAAATAAACATATCCGAATGCATTTATTGTACCTATCCCTCTTATCTTGATACTCTCTCTATGGATACTTAATAGCGCAAATGGAAGCGTCTGTATCAACTAAGGATTACGGATTACCACGATAATAATTGCTGCTATAAGTATTATTGAGAGGGACAACTCGATTTTGTCGGTTGAATGTTTCAGGCCTAAAATGTTTCTATCTACCTGGAAACCTTCTTCTATTACTTTTAACTATATACAACATATTTTCCGATTGCAATAGCGAAGCAACCCCTTCGTCCAGCATTCTTTAAAGTTTCAAAATTACGCGAGGCTATTATAGTACTAAGTCGATTTTTTATTATAAAATTAATTAAATAGGACTTTCATTTAATTTCCTAACAGAGAACTGTAGTAGTCGATACCGTCTATTAGTAGCTTCCTCATTGCACATGACTAGGTAACAAAGGCCGTAGGTAACAAACTCCATTTTTGGAACAGATTTTGACCCTACTATTTTACTGTCAGTAACTTCAACGTGTGTCTTATTACAAAATTGTTCAGTATCAGTCGTACTCCTGAATTAATAATAAACTCTCTGTACTAATTTTCTCATGACTGACTTGCTCATCAATATTAGGTATCAAATTAAAATACTGGTTAAACATTATCAATAAAAAATTGAAAAACAATGGCTCTAATAAATTGACACATACTAATTCTTCTAATAAATTGACATTTAATTCAGATAATAATTTAATATTTAATTCCAATTCCATCTTTATGGCACCGACTATCCCTGAAGATATATTTGTAACATTGTATTGGCACTGTAAAATAAAACTAGCATTGGATATGACGGCATTATGACAAATATCGTTAAAGATGTTGCGAATGTTATATAGTTCAGCCATTAAGCTACAATATTAAATTGAATGTATTGAATATGGTACCTATCCAGATAAACTTTAAATATCGGTAATAAAACCAGTGTTTCAAAAAAGCGATAAAACAAATATGAACAACTACAGGCCTATAACAAGTATGTTTATTAGCAGTCTGATTACCATAGTACAGGCTCTGCCTAGTTTGGGATCAGACGGCCGTGTGTGACATGTGTAAAATTATTATTATTATTAATATGATATGATAGATGATATAATAGGTACTGATATCTAGATTTGCGAAGATTTTTGAGAAAGTTATTTTTAAATGCATAAACGAATTCCTGGAAAGCCATCATATTCTAACACCAAGTCAATATAGTTTTAGGAAAAATAAATCTGTAAATGTAGCGATGTACAACTTTATGCAAAAAGTTTATGTTGGCAAAGGCATTTGACCGCGTCGAGCATAATACCCTATTAAAAAAACGTATGTGTATGGTATTAGAGGCAATGTGTATGATCTAGTAAAATCATATCTTTTGAATAGACATCAATACACAGAGATTCGTCAACAGAAACACATCCATCATCTAAAACTGGAACTGCTCAATTCGGTGTTCCACAAAGGAGTATTTTAGGCCCCTTATTCTTTCTTGTGTATATAAATGATATGCCTAAAATAACGAATCATGACATCACACTATTTGCTGACGATAGCACAGTGCTATTTACTAATGATAAATCAACCAATTTAGAACTTGAAATTAATCAAACAGAAAATATTGTACACTGGCTCATAATTAATAATTTAATGATCGAAATCTCTAAAAAAAATCGGTTGTCTGTAAAGTTGGTTTACTGACAATAGTTGAACGTGACAACGTCATAAGAAAATACTGATGGAATGGTTGCATTTTTCAAAAATGTATTATTGTATACGAGTAGTAGCTGTCCACGCGGACGCATCGCTCACACAAGTTCCTACTTGAGAGAGACAGATGTCGAACGCTGCCGAACGCGGAGGCCGATTGTGCCTCTTTGTCGCTCGTTCCGCGCTCTCGCTTGCACTTCACGCCTTACATGGAACGCCTCAGAGCGAGGTAACGCCGCATGAGTCATGTTTTTTCGTGCGTGCAGCCGGCTCCATAGAATTATAAGACGTTGTCACGTCAAAAAATGAATTTTAGAATACGTACACGACGCACGGCTTCCCTTAACATAAGACATAATGATAGCGATATAGAAGAAGTAACAAAATTTTTAGGTTTACATATTGACAACAAAATTAATTGGAAATTACATGTTGACTATGCTTGTAAAAGACTAAGTCAGTTTTCATATGCTCTAAACAGACTCAGAAAATAGCGAATCAAAAGACTCTTCTAGCAGCCTATCATGTAACAGCCACCTTTGTAACATTGCAAAACGAAGTAGGCCCCGACCAATAGGCACAGACCAAGAAGAATCAACATAACAATACTTATTGCAATTCTAACTGCTCCGTGCTAGCTCCAATCGTTGACCCAATACCATTTTGGTTGATAACGACCTCTTCTGGTTTAGGAGAATTTGATTAACACATTGTGCTTGATATCTATGCAAAACAGTATTCGCACAACAGTACAACATACGCTGGGCACCCAAGTCTTGAATTCGCACATTGTCTTACATACACTTTGACCGAAACGCAATTTGATGCCCTACACCAATCCTAGAAGGCTCGCCATAAGGGTATGCGTTGCGAGAGGAATGAAACGTCTGACTGCTGAATAATAAGTGAATTTTATCACTATGAACATTTCTATCAGGAGACCCGTCTGCTCGTCTGCCCCCTCTAACATAAAATAAACAGAGATCTATAACTATGTCTTGAATTATACACTACAGACATGGAATTAATTTTGGTTTTGACAATGTGCAAATAGTGTGTTGTTCATGCTTGTACCCATAGTACAAGCTCTGCTTAGTTTGGGACTAGATGGCGTTGTGTGAATGTGGTACAATATTATTATTATTATTTTATAAAAACAGCCTAACAAAATTAGTCTGGTCAATAATGGGTCAATAAAATTATTTACACTTTTTTCGGTAAGAAATTAATTTCTTATATGCTGAGAACTATGAAACTAATAAAAAATATATAAAATAATATAATAAAAATTATTATAATACCCCAAAAAAGGTTTTGCTTTTGTATCTGTCTTGATTATAATTGAGAGCTGACAATAATGTTTTGAACAATTAAATAAAAAGAAAAAACATTACACTGTATCTAATATAATTTGTAAATAGACGGTTATATAGAGGGTAGGTCGGACGACGGATCCCCAGACATTATGATAGATGATGTTAACATTTACGGGTTATGTGGATTGGAAGGGTTCTAGTGATCGCTCAATTTGCCGCTTAATTATGCTTTGTGAAATCAAATCTTGTATACTGTGTACCGCAGTGCTTACGTAACAACTACATTGATTTACAATACAGCATAATAAATCTGCTTTCTAAACGTATCAAGGACAGGAACAGGCTCTTTGTTTACAGGCATTACTGGAACAATCATTAGTTATTATTCGTGATATATTTGGAAAATATCCGAATAGAATTGAAAAATTAAAATAGTTTTGTGGTAGTAGCACCAATAGGTATGTATACGTATATTATATAAAAATACCTATTACACATACTAAACATTTACTAATATTCCATAAAGGAATATACTCATATATGTACCTTTGTGGATTATTAATTTTAGGGTAACCGATCGAATTGCCTGATTTATTTTCAGTCTGATTTAAAATACTATAAAAAAACTAACTGCTCATCATCAACAGGCATTAATAAGCCACTGCTAGACATGAGCCTCTCCTTAGAAAGGAGGTTTTGGCCTACTACCACGCTGGCCAGACGGGTTGGTATAGGGTTTGTTTCAAGTTTGCCTTCTCTCTGCAGTGCTGTTGTTCTGCATATTTTTCTTAGGGGTGAATAGGGGTTTCCATAAGCGCAGGCCTGGGGGTGACAGGTGAGGCCATCTGTCACCCTAGCAGAAGCAGGCCGGGGTGGCGACGAGCGCGTTGCGAAGCGCGCTCGCTTCCGGGGAGCAGAGGGACCATGGGGTTCCCACACGGGGGGGGTCGTCTACTCGTCTGTAGATGGCCCGAGGTATGTCGGGGCACCAGGGACTTCCTTTCTAGGGTATACCTGGCTCTCCGGCTATTAGTACCCGAGACGGC